GAAATCCTGGAGCCGGGCTTGATGTTCTAAATCAACACTTTTACTTCCTTCTACGAAGTGAAGTAAGTATTTTAATCGCGAAAAAATTCCGATTTCAGCGGAAATATCCATTTAGACTGTTCTTGAATCCATTTTGACTATTTTTGCACGACTTCTGGACGTACAAATAGAATAAAGGACTCTTATTCTAAAACGGATTGTAAAATCGATTAAAATAGGATTAAAAATTGGATTTTTTTCGTGACGTCTGTACGAGAGACTTAACTATATAAGGTATTTTCTTCCTCCTTTCTGCATGTCTTCGTGGTGTAACTATATCACACTCGGCGCGTACTCGAGAGATTCAAGCAAGTCCCGGCGATGGCATTGCTCATTTTTCATGTACTCCTGCTTTAAAAATAACCTAATGACTACAGTGGCGCCCGAACTGAAAGGTAGTGGATGTTGATCCTTCACCACCAGGATCTGGTGATTGAGTTTCCTAATACGAGGTCACCCTTTAAGAGGGGGGAGTATATAAGGTAAGGTATGATCCAAGGAACCGTAAATGATTCAATGAGCCATTTTTGCCTTATTTTCTCACTCCATTTCTGCATGCTTTCGTGTTGTAACGGTAGCATACTCAACGAGTATTCGAGAGGTCCAGGTTGGAGTCCCGGCGAGGGCATCGCACATTTTTCACGTCTCCTGCTTCAGAATTGCTAATGACTCTATGGTACGTACGTACGTATCTCTCATAGCTCAAAAATGATTAGCCGTGCAACGTTGAAATTTTGTATCTGAGACTGCTATAACGTCTAGTTATGCAACTGCTTTTTTAATTGCAATCGGCAGTACCAAAAGTATGCACATACACATGTATATATGCTACACAAGAAAATAGCAAAGTTGAATTAAATTTAAATAATTCTATTGCGCCATTGCTGCAAGGAATGAAATTTGATTTTAACAAATATTCTCTGTTCGTATAAAATTTATATATAATTAAACTACTGAATATGTAGTATATTGAATGAACTAAAATTCATTGAAATCGAAAACAAGTTTTTTCTAATACTTGCGCAATAGCTGCAAAGTAAGATAATAATAATTTATTTACTAAAGAAATATATCGCAGTCATATGCTTCCAATCACAGAAATGTTTTAAATAACGAAAATATTATTCATCATTCATTCATTATATCAAATAAAAAATATTCATTTTCGGCAAATAGCGAAATCTAGCTTTTAAGGCGGTCTGCTGGTTTCTATACTTATAACATTTGGAAAAGTTCTTATACGCGTTATGAAAAGATAAAAATACAAGAAGTTTGACTCTCATACGACAAAATTTACCAGGATATTTAATTTGAAAATTTGCAATTTTGATATCATTTTCAACTTGCCTTGAAGGATTAAGTTAGAATAATTCGAGGAAATAAGTTTATAGCAAGTGCAGCAAATAATGCGTATACTTTAATAGGCCGCGTGCAAGATAGTCATGTGGTTTTCACATGAGATTTTTTTTTTAATTATTCAGATATTTTATTAAATACGCACCCACTTTAAAATCCTTAAAATTTGTTATTCATGAAAACTGAGTCATCCTAATCCCACTTGACAGTCGAAATACCACTGGTAGGCTGTTTCCTCCGCTTATTGGGGAAGTATTATTATTTTGCTTTCTTTATAGAAATAAAGAAAATAATAAATGTTTATTTATCATAGGATACTTCGATATTCTTTTATGTTCTTAGTACTTACTTGAGGCGGATTTTTTTTCTCAAACTGAATATAGTATAACCGTAATCCTGCAACAGGTTGTTTATGAACATGCATACAAAATTTGACATTGTCTGTACAGTCTTTCTGTTAAAAATAAATAAATAAATAAATAAATAAGTGGTCTAAAAAGGAAAGGTAATGTAACTCTTTACTGAATAACTTCTGAAGAAATGAATTATTACGTCAAAATACTGTACTGAAAACATTACTAAAAAAATTTATAAAAAACCACATGAAATCTATTGTTTTTATTGTTAACTGAATAAATAGAAAGATGCCAACAATGTGTCTTTATGTCTTTCAGTCTTCAAAAAAACTAGATAATCGATTTTGTACCTTACGAGAAGGAATTTAGTAGAGATACGCTGCTTAGTCATATGTAAGAAAATTTTACCATATGCAACTTTTTTTGGTTTTATATCATGATCGGTTATACCATATTGGTAAGAAAAAATATAGCGGGAAAATATAACTAAATTCTAAAAACTTTATTTTATACGCAAAGCCAACATTTAAAAACTATATTCAGGTAATTTATAACTTATCTCATCCCAAACTATTTAGAATATCTTAATTTCACCCCAAACTATTTAGAATATAATTTTTCTTTTTTTAAACCCCAGAAGGGCTATTAGTCTCGAAACGGCATTTTGCATCGAATAGCTAAAAGCGTTGAATCCCTTTTCAAATTGCTGCCACCAAATATTATCACCATGTATTATACTTAAAGAAATTAAATAATGGAAAATCTGTATGAATGTATGTATGTTTCTCGAATTGTGAAAAAACAACGGTATCTTGAGCCATCAAATTTGAATAACGGAGTTCTCCACCGGAATATGGGCGCCTGGAAGTCCGAATTTGGAATATTTTTTATTGTCTATTTCATATTTTGTAAAACTTTAGCAAATTTTTTATTAACAAACTCAACAATTTCAAAGTGAGCAATGACAACACTGCAGGGGACTAAACATTTTATCTCCAGCGTCCGAGACTGGCTATCGGAAATTTTAAAGGTATACTGTTTTTATATATTTCTAACCCAAAGGAGTGTTAGCACAAATGCTCTCAAAACGTGTATGTGTGTGTAAATGTAAAAAATGCTCCTTTGGGAGCGTTTTTGGATTTGTAACATAAAAATCTAAAATTTTGTTTTCTGCAACATCTGATTACCACGCATGAGAAGGTTTCCTTGTGTCAAAGCCCTGTTTCTGTCTTGCAAAACTCCTTCAAAAACGTAGAGACTTTTTCATATTTGAGGTCATCTTGTATTCTTGTTAATATGTTGTATGTAATTTTAGAAGTGAAGTCATGTTTAGAGTAATCAGTATTTTATTAAGGTAAACTATTTACAGTTCAGATGATCAGTTTCGATCAAAATTGAATGGCTAGTTAGAGTTACGGATATTAAATTTGAAATTTCGTGATTTCGGAATGGACGACGTAAAATTAGCGAATGGATGCTGAGACAAAACTTCATGCGCGAATACGCATACAGAAATGCACCGCTGTATAAATTAATATTTTCCTAACTAAGCTCTGTAGTGTCCTGAAATATTCCTAAAAGGTCTGACGAATATTTTAATTTTAGTATACTAAAAATATAATTTTGGTTAATGAAAAAATTTCATCAGAAAGTAAGACCACCATCAACTGAAGGAATTTTAAAATTGATCCCTACATTATCTGTTAATCCTAGGTAAGACATTGAATAATTTTTTTTTTTTTTTTTCCTATGCAAGTCTTCAGGTCAAAATTATTTTCAGATAAAACAATATAGTATATGCAGCAATATAGTTTTGCCCCAGTTACATACAAATAAATATATTGAGATGAAAGCATTCAGAATTTTGAAGAAGCTTTGAATTTTTCTTGTCTACGCTACAGGAAGGGCGTCTTTTTAGTAATATATAGGAAAGAACCTCGTACATTGTGTAGAATTAACGAAGTTAAGAAAACATTTTCAAAGAATGATTGTGATGGAATTGTCAGAAATCTACTCTGCATTTTCAAATGCCACTTTTTTTTTATGGAACTGTTTTTTTATTAGATAGTATTATTTATAAAATTATGACACTTATGAGCAATATTTTTTATATTGAATGAGATTACTAATTATTTAGTGAATGGTACATTTAAATGTTTTTATAGCTGTATAAATAAATATATGTAAGGTAAACTTGAAAAACTGATTATTATTTTTACAAGAATGAATTATTTTTTAACTGAGAAAAGTTTCGTTAAGTGACAAAATTTTTTAAATAAATTTTAAAAAATTCTCATATATGTCTCTATATGTGAATTCACATTTTTTCTTTAAATCATAAGCGTACTCTGGAGAGTCAGTATGATATTTGTATAGCTAAAGTGCATGTGAATATTTTTCGGGTGTTATGAACAACAAGATCGGATTTATCGCGTGAACCGAACTGTACAACGACTAGAACAACCGCCAAATACATTCTTCTTCCTTAAACTCAGGCAGCGACCTCTGTTGAGTGAAATCATATGCGGCTCATTCGTAACTCCAACATTTACTCATTAATCTACATTTATTTAAATTTTTTGCCGTGTTGCCATTTCCCATTTTTAAATATACACTTTCAGTTTTGTTTACGTTAGATAACTGCTTACAAAGGCCAGTTTTTAAATTTGTTTTTTACATGTTTAAGTTATAGTTTATTGAGAAACAACACTGGGGGTGTTACAGATAAGTTGAATGTTAAGAGTTTTTAAGCATTTAAACTCTGTATACCTAAAGGAAAACATATGCTTTGAAACAGCTAAAATGTTATCTATTTAGAACAAGTAAATTGCCTTTTAAGTACCTCCCAACACATTGCAAATATGTGCACTTTAGCACATCGCTTCCTGCTTTTATCAGCAATTCTTTTCTTTTAGAATGGTTACATAAATGAAAATCTTTTAATATTGAATCATTATTAAATAGCAAATAAATTCACATGTGTGAGTAGAAAAGTTCACATGTTTTTTTTTCAATTATATGTATGAGAGATAAACTGAAAGAGTAAGAATGATTAATTATAGTTTTTTACTATTTTAGAATTGGTATCTGAATTAAAATATTCAAGTTATATTTAAATTTTTATTACATATTTTAATATGCACATAACATATTCGAGTGATGTTCTTAGCCTCGTACCAAGGCTCTCATTTTAAACATACCGCCAATGAGATCGCATCTGGCCAGAGAGTATGTGTTTCCGACTCGGTGAGGACCGGGTCGAGTTCGGTTCTTCTGAACCGGATTGGTTAAAACCGATTTTATCACGTGGCATGTTTAGTTGTCTCCTATTCGCTTGCAATAACTAGTATAAGTGGAAATGATGAAAAAATGCTTTTGTGGTCACGTGACGTTGGAGCGCCATGTTGGTACAGGAGGATGTGTGGTTGTGTCAGAATTATTTAAAAATGAATTCGCCGGTATACTGTAATATGTACTATTCTTTTTCATTGTAGTACTAATGTGACAAGAAGTACACTTAAGGTAAGCATTGTCGCTTTTATGATTCTTATTGATACGGTCAGATTAATAGATGACAGTTGTTTCAGAATATGTTTGGTACTTATCACAGCAGCTTCCGCGCACTTCCCGCCGAGGCTGTACCGTTGGTACCGCACTTAGCGAATGGCTTGGAAGTGAGCAATGCTAAGATTAGGCAGAATTCAGTCGCGACACCATTACCATTTCTTACGGATCGTTGTAATTTTTCATCTTTACCGTTAACAGAAATTTAAATAACGTTTTTTAATGAACTTTTTTTAAAAATTCAAATTTAATGTTAATTTAAAGTGTTTAATTTTTCACATTCTACGTAAGCCTAAATTTTTTATATTGCGAACCTGCATTGTTATTACACAGAGCAATAAATTTAAGATTGGAATTGAAATAAAATGAAGATGTAAACTAATATTTTGTAAAATTTCCTAATTATGACGCTTTAATCATTTTCTAATGTTGTTACATGTTCTGTGAGCAGTTACTAGGATAGATTATGCCATCATATTCTTTTTGTGAAAGCTAAATTTTGTGGGATTAAAGCTGATCGTATGCAAATTTTAATTGTTATGTAATTAGTTTATTCATCCGACGTTTGTTTGCATCCATATGGCTGTCAAAAATAAAAAAAAGTTTGATTATTTAATTTGTCTTACTTAATATAATTATGCGTTCGGTAGACTTCAAAGAATCGGTGTACATTGATTAAAATTATAGATTTTAAATGTGATAACATTTACTCCATGATTAATGATAAATTGCCTTGCTGAATTTTTCATCATGAATTTGTTCTTATTTAAGAGTTAATTTCTACAGAAGAAATGCAAACATAGTTTTGTTTTATTTATATGGAAATACCTTAACTGGTATTGATTCTTTTTTGAATTTGAATAAAATATTTTCAGCATTTTAATGTTTGTTACAGTATGTATAGGATTTTCTAGTAAGCAAATTTCAAATAGGTCATTTTATTGGGAAGGGGACATGTTTTGTACTTCCCTTAAAAGCTATTGTATTTAAATTAAAATAATATTCATTCCCATCATATGATCATGGATTCTGTCAAATTTTATGCTGGAAGTTAGCTTTCAAGTTTAATATTCATTCAGTTTTGAATTTGTCATAGACTTCTCACTTCACGAATTGTTTATTTTTGAGTAATGATTAATAACTAATTGTCTTTAACAAGTGCTTTACGACTGTAATTATGCCAGATGTATAATGAGTGTGATATCTCATATACTCGAGCATATGTAGAAATACTTAAAACTTTAAAGTAAATTCAAGTGCATATATGTATGTGTTTGGTGATTTGTAATCATTAAAGTTTTCATTTCATCCATCAGTCATTAAATAAAGTATTTTTTCTAATTGATAAATATCTTGAATTATATTATTCGTAATGGGTAAAATGCTATTGTTTAGGCAGACTATAAAATATTTTCGAAATGTAATGTAAAAATCCTATATATGAATTTGGTAAAAGTTTACAATTTGGTGCCCCTTGTTTATTGGCGATTCTTTTTTTACGTCAAGATTGGCACCAGGAAGTCACAATTTTAAGATGGCAGCTATACAAAAACCAAAATAAGAAGTCGGAGAATTGCACAAGATCTGTGTCCATGTACACATCGATCTGTTTTTACTTAAAAAAACATCCTAGAATTGCACAAACTAGGCATTGCGCACTGCTTTAAATATGTCCATGTACACATAAATCTATTTTCATTTAAATAAAATCGGGAAGCTAAAACAAAGTTAAAACTATCATGGTAACCAGAAGAGAGGTTTCATCACCAAAATTTTTTAAAAAATGTCGTCAATCAAAGGGGCACCCAATTCTACACTAAAGCCATGAATTTATATATTTTTGAAATTATTAATGTTGTACGTTATAGGAAGAAAATTAGTTAATTTTATATCCTAATTTTAAGTATCAAAGTAAGAAAGCTTAAAAGTTTAGCAATTTTTAATTTGAAATAGAATCTGATCAGTTATATGCTTTTAGAATCCATGCTTTAATCTGCATTTCACCAGTCATAGACATAAAAAATACAGTGGTACCTCAGTATTATACATCATTAATGGTACACAGTACTCAAATCTTGGATATGTGTGCCATCTTCCTATTTTCAATCTCTTTTTGAACCTTTATTGTGATCTTTATCATTTTCTTTGTTGCTTGATTCTTTGCATTAACTTTTGTAAAATTCACTGTTAACAAATTTACAAAAAATTTAGGCAAAAAACACATAATTAGGTCAAACTTAAAAGTTATAGTGTGGGTTAAGTACTGAAAAGTAGCAGCAGACATCCTCGTGGCCAGTTATAGCATCTTTTCAAAATAGTAAATAAGGGTAGGCAGCACAATTTTTATTCAATGAGTTTGAGTTGTAGTCCAAGCAAGTATTATATATCAAACAAAAACTTGTGTACACATGTTTCAAAGTGGAGGTGTATCCTGGTACCACTGTATTAAAAAAAATCTGTTTATTTGCAGCTGTAATGGGTTTTCAAATAGCACTGATACATTGCTTGTACTGAAGTTCTTGAATTGCTTTGTTTTGCTATTCTGACTTTAGGTAATTTTAATACATTTGCTATTAAAATTTTGTCCCATAATTTGTGTAGTCTGTAATAAATGAAAAAGTTTAGAAATGCTAGTTGAAATTAGGAAAACTTTAAAAATACAGGGGTGTGTATTAGTGTAAAAAACAAAGGTAAATGTCATTTACAGCTATACATGTTAAAACCAGAATTTTAACAGCTAAGTGCAAGAAAATAAGAAAAGTTGAATTTTAGATTGAGGAAGTCTCAATATATCTACTGAATTTCATTCATATATATTGACTTTTTTTATAATATAATAAGTTTCACAAATTATGTAAAAGCAATGACTGAACTGATTCATTCTTTTATACCCCAAAATTCAGGAAAGGTATTCTAGTATAATTAATATATGGTGATTTGAGTTTGGTTTTAATCTTTGCTAATGTAAAATTTGTGTGCATACAAATTCTTTCAATAATCCATGTAATGAAATTATCATTTTATTAGATTTCTTTCATTACTTTCCCTCATCTTCATTGTTATAATTAATTTTTCCTTTAAAAAATAAATTTATAACCAAATTTAATTTATGTTGACAACTTGAAAGCAAAGTATGATTTTAAGCTCAACTACATTATTGAACCTAAAATGAATGAAATTCAGTAGATGTATGTATGCACAGACTGATGTTGACTGCTGGTGCTGTTCAGTTTTCTGGACCGGATTCAGAAATGAATGTGTCAATGCACGTGTGTATTGTATGTACCATGCATATATCCATACATTTCTGAAGCCGGTCCTGATAACAGAACAATACCCGACTGCCTGTCTTTGGCAGGGTTAAATATTTATTTGGTCAACCTCTAAAGCATCTGCTAAACAAATGATCTTATTTGTAATTTTCTACCTCCATCTCAGTAATGCAGATTTCTCTTGGATAATTATTTGAATCTTTCTACAGTTCTCATCTATCATTTATAGTTCTTCCTAGAACTTAATTGATGTTACTTTTTTACATGGACAATAAATGAATAGTATGATAATTGTGGATCTAGTTTCCAATATACACTATTGGAAAACTGTGATCATTTACTTTCACTAAGCGAACACCGAGTCATTTTATGTGGCAAGAAAAATTACTCTCCATAAGAGTAATAAAAACATAAATTTATCTGCAGGAATGCAGGTTCGTTACAAGTTACAGTTTTATATAATGCTACTTCGTGAGAGAAGAGCATGCTGTTTCCAATTTGCTGCTGCTAAGTGTTGCTTCAAAAGGGTATTATTTGTCACTAGCCAACAGTTATTTTAAACAACATGTTAGACATGTATTAAATTATGTAAGTGATCTGTACAAGGCCTTCAGAAAACTTGCAAATATTAATTATGATCTGCATAACTACATGACAAGATTAAATATAGATATTATATAGTCTGTACTGTGTTAAAAAATTAGCCATTAAAATCTGGTTTTATGGGGCGAGCAGTCACAAAATTTTATTTAAAATACAAATCAATATAGAAATACAAATAACTTACTAATGCTGTTGATGAGAGTGTTTCATTCTTCAAAATAGTGGGGTAAAATTAATTTAATTTGGTTATGAAGAACACATTTTATTTCCTTTTCAACATTCTTTATACATCGGGCTATTGAAATATCTGCAATTTTTTTTTTTTCAAATTCTTTTAACACATCTTTATATCCATCACACGCAGAATACTTCCCATTGCATTGTCAGTACTAATTCAGTGTATTTCTCGCATTTAATACGTACTTGATAAAATCATCTTTTCTAAAAGCATTCAGTACAATCTGATCTTCTCTTTTAACATGATAAAAATAAAGGAGAAGTTGCAGGGAGTTAGATCTGGTGAGTGAAAAGGGTGGGTCAGAACTGTTTCTGAATTTTAAGAATTGCTGCACAGTAAATGAAATGTGAGCATGTGCATTGTCATGATACAGAATCTGATTCTTTTGATGTTAATGTAATTTCTTTCATTAACTAATGAAATAATTTGTAGTTTATTTTCTGACCAAAAGTTTGCTTAAGCATTTAAAATGTTTCTTCTGCACATTTCCCAGTTCATATCAACATTTTATGAACATATTTTTTTTTGTATCGCTCATGTGTTCATTGCCCAAAATGGATAACTGAGCAAGCACTCAATTGATCCAGTGCGTGGATTGATTATATGAGTATTTCCATGGCTTTCTGTGATTGTAACATTTTTTAACCAGTTTCTCAGAGAAAGGTCTCTTAATAACTTCCACTCTTCAGGCAAAATTCCTCTTATACTTTTCCATATTGGAGTATACAAGCACAACATTCATTTATACTGTGGATTAAAAAATACCACAATATTAAAAAAATTATGCTGAGCACAAAAATGCATGTCTCGAATAGAACTGCGATTACAGTCTTTTTTTTTTTTTA